CTGTTTGCAGCCTGATCTTCCAGGCCACTCTTTGTTAGAAAAGAAGTGATTTATTGGACTGCTTTTTATTAGAAGGGAAGTTCTGCCGAGGACTTTCTGCCTTAACTATATGCCTAGCTAGTCTCTTTTTACCTCCTCTCAGAAGTAATCACAGTTGTCTTTTTTCATTTGTTGCTTGTGCTTTGAAGTTCTTATCCAAAAAATCATTGCCCAGACCAATGTCATAGAGCTTTTCTTTATGTTTTCTTCTACTAGTTTTATAGTTTCTGGTCTTGTTTTTAATCTATTTCAAGTTGATTTTTCTACATAATGTGATATGATGGTCTTATTTCATTATTTTGCCTGTGGAAGTCCAGTTTTTCCAACACCATTTACTGAAAGACTGTCTCTGTTGTGTGTTCTTGGCACCTTTGTCAAAAATCAATTGACCATATAGATATGTGGGTTTATTTCTGGGCTTTCTGTTCTTTTTCAATGCTTGATGTGTCTGTTTTTATGCCAGTACCATGTTATTTTGATTACTATAGGCTTATAATATATTTTGAAATCAGACATTGCAATTCTTCCAGCATTGTTATTTTTTATCAATATTGCTTTGGCTATCTGGAGTCTTCTGTGGTTCCATATCAATTTTAGGATTTCTTTTTATATTTCTGTGGAAAATTTCATGAGACTTTTGACAGGGATTGCACGGAATCTGTAGATTGTTTTGGATAGTTATGGACATTTTAACAATATTCTTCCAATCCATGAACACAGGATGTCTTTCCATTTATTTGTGTCTTCTTCAATTTCATTCTCAATGTTTTATTTATAGCTTTTGGCATGTAGATCTTTTACCTATCTGGTTGATTTAAGTATTTTTTGGTGCTGTTGAACATGGAGTTGTTTCTTAATTTCTCCTTTGAATAATTTGTTGTTAATTTATAGAAATGCTGCTGGTTTTGTATTCTGCAACTTTACTGAATTTCTTTACGAGTTTTAACGGGTTTTTTTTGGAAAAGCCTTTAGGGCTTTCTGTGTATAACATCATATCATCAGCAACCGAGACAATTTCACTTCTTCCTTTCCTTTAACTGTTTTCAAAATAGTGATTTCCTGACCTTCTCTAACAGTGACCTGATTTCTTGTTTTTGTTTTATTATTTTGTACTCACAGATTTAAATATGTTTGAAGAGGTTCAACCTTTTCCAGTTACTGTTCTTGCTGATGTTCCTATTTTTGGCTGGTGAAGCTGTTGTCAGGTTGGTTCTAGAGATCTTTGGTTGTAGCCTCAAAGCTTTATTAGCTTCCATATTTTCTGTATGGCCAGATGTTCCAGGACCGTCTTGTGTATTTCGTGTACCAGATCTGGAATAAGCCAATTCAGCAGGAGCCCTGGGTTTCTTTTAATAAGAAATGGTATTTAGAAACCAAGATTTAGGTGCTAGGACTGCATATTACTACTGTGTTACTCACCGCTATCAATGGACAGAATTAGGAAAAATGTGTTTTTCTTTGTTTTCTGTTTTTTAAATTTATTTATTTTACCTTAGGTGCATACTATATCTGGCATTTCTCCCCATTTTTTCCCTCCCCTTCCTCCCCACCCCCCACGTCTCTCCCCTACCACCCCCCGCAACTGCTCCTTGTGTGTGATGCTCCTCTCCCTGAGTCCACATGTTCTTGTTGTTCAACACCCACTTATGAGTGAGAACATATGGTGTTTGGCTTTCCATTCTTGTGTCAGTTTGCTGAGAATGATGGTTTCCAGATTCATCTAAGTCCCTACAAAGGACACAAACTCATCATTTTTTCTGGCTGCGTAGTATTCCATCGTGTATACGTACCACATTTTCTTTGTCCAGTCCATCATTGATGGGCGTTTGGGTTGGTTCCAGGTCTTTGCTATTGTACACAGGGCTGCATTGAACATACGTGTGCACGTGTCTTTATAGTAGAAAGATTTATAGTTCTTTGGGTATATATTCAGTAATGGGATTGCTGAGTCAAATGGAATTTCTATTTCTAGATCCTTGAGAAATTGCCACACTGTCTTCCACAACAGTTGAACTAATTTACACTCCCACCAACTGTGTAAGAGTGTTTCTATGTCTCCACACCGTCTCCGGCATCTGTTGTCTCCAGATTTTTTAATGTTCGCCATTCTAACTGGTGTGAGATGATATTTCAGTGTGGTTTTGATTTGCATTTCTCTAATGACCAGTGATGATGAGCATTTTTTCATATGTTTGTTGGCCTCATATATGTCTTCTTTTGAAAAGTGTCTGTTTATATCCTTCACCCAGTTTTGAATGGGGTTGTTTTTTTCTTGTATATCTGTTTTAGTTCTTTGTAGATTCTGGATATTAGCCCTTTGTCAGATGGGTAGATTGCAAAAATTTTTTCCCATTCTATTAGTTGTCAATTCACTCTAATGATGGTTTCTTTTGCTGTACAGAAGCTCTGGATTTTAATTAGATCCCGTTTGTCTATCTTGGCTTTTATTGCCATTGCTTTTGGTGTTTTAGTCATGAAGTCCTTGCCTATGCCTATGTCCTGGATGGTTTTGCCTACTTTTTCTTCTTGTATTTTCATGGTATTAGGTTTTATGTTTAAATCTTTAATCCATCTGGAGCTAATTTTAGTGTAAGGTGACAGGGGTCCAGTTTCTGCTTTCTGCACATTGCTAGCCAGTTTCCCCAAAATGTGTTGTTTTTTTGAGACAGTTTCGCTCTTGTTGTCCAAGCTGGGAGTGCAGTGGCACAATCTCGGCTCACCACAATCTCCACCTCCTGGGTTCAAGTGATTCTCCTGCCTTAGCCTCCCGAGTAGCTGGGATTATAGGCATGCACCACCATGCCTGGGTAATTTTGTATTTTTAGTAGAGATGGGGTTTCTCCATGTTGGTCAGGCCGGTCTCAAACTCCTGACCTCAGGTGATCCACCCGCCTCAGCCTCCCAAAGTCTGGGATTACAGGTGTGAGCCACTGTGCCCAGCCTTTTTTTTTCCTTTTTTTCTTTTTTTTCATACAGAGTTTTGCTCTTGTTGCCCAGGCTGGAGTGCAGTGGCACAATCTTGGCTCATGGCAACTCCCACCTCCCGGGTTCAAGCTATTCTCCTGCCTTAGCCTCCTGAGTAGCTGGGATTACAGGGGCCTGCCACCACGCCTGGCTAATTGTTTGTATTTTTAGTAGAGACGGGGTTTCACCATGTTAGCCAGGCTGGTCTCGAACTGCTGATCTGAGGTGATCCACCCACCTTGACCCCTCAAAGTACTGGGTTACAGGCGTGAGCCACAGTGCCTGTCCCGAAAAATGTGTTTTTAAACTTACTTGCTCTATCATTTTATAAATGTAATATATGTTTGTGTGGTTCTCATATTAATAATTACAATGTTATTAATAGTATGTGTATTAGGATTCTCCAGAGAGAACTAATAACAATAGATAGAGACATAAGAAGGGATTTATTGGGGAATTGGCTTATGCAATTATAGAAGCTGAGAAGTCTCACAATAGCCCATCTCCAAGCTGGAGAACCAGGAAGGTGTGTAGTCTGGCCTGGTCCAAGTCTGAAGGCCTCAGAACCAGGAAAACTGATAGGATAACTCTCAGTGCAAGGGTGAAACCCCGAGAATCCAGGGGGCTTCTGGTGCAAGTCTTGGAGTCCAAAGCTGGAGAAGCTGGAGCTCTGATGACCAATGAATGACAGGAGAAGATGGGTGTACCAGCTCCAGAAGAGGGAATGAATTCATCTTTCCTCTGCCTTTTTGTTCTAAGTCCTCAGCTGATTGAATGGTTCCTGTCTACACAGAGGGTGCATTTTCTTTAAATGTCTACTAATTCAAATGTCAGTCTCTTCCAGAAACACCCTCACAGATACACCCAGAAATAATGTTATGCCAGCTCTCTGCATATTCCTTATTCTAGTAAACTAGACACTGAAAATTAATCATCCCAATATGCTTACTGAAAATGTTTTCTGTGGTGTGAGGAGGGGATATCTTTTTAAATGTCAAGTATATACCACTAGAAATATTTTTAAATCACTTGAAATATTTACTCTCCATCTGGCTATACTACCAATTTAATACACAGGTTTATTCGATTTAGTTTTTGATTTTTTTAAAAAGTTGACCACTTTTTTTTTTAACAATTTAATTCATTTAATATATAAGACTTTATATTGTTCAAAAGGATAAAACAAGTTATGTTCAGAAAAGTTTCACTTTAACTGTCCATCCTCCACCTATTTCTTCCTTTCATCTATAAATAACACTAAAAACTTTTTATTGGTTTATCCTTCCATTTTTTAAAAATATAAAAATAAATACATTTACAGCTCCCCTCCCTTTACTGAATACTACATATGCTTTCCTCCTATGTGCTTTTTTTCACTTAACTCTAGCTCATTCCATAGCAGGATATAGAGCTCTTCATTTCTTACCACATCTGCACATTACTCCATTGTGTGAACATAGCATTCTTTATTCAATAAATAAACACTGATGGACAAATTAAATTGTTTTCAGTCTTTGTGATTGCAAATAATATGGCAATAAAAATCACTATAAACTCTTAGGTCCATAAACACATACAGTTTTGCTAGAAATTGTCCAATTTCCCTCCATAAGGGTCATACTATCTTCTATTTGCAACAGCAACATATAAGAATACCTACTGTGTCCCAGCCTTGGAAACATAGTATGTTCAGGTCACTTTTTAAAGCAGCTTTATTTTCATATAATTTCCATATACCACTGTAATTATACCATATAATTCACCTATTTTATGTGAATATTTTTCTTTGTAAATTTACCCACTTGTGCAGTTGTGCATTACAACAATCCAGTTTTAGAACACTTCCATTATCTCAGTAAATTCTGCTGTGAGCACTTTTAACCAAATACTTGGCATAGACTTATGTGGAGGGGTTAGCACAGATGGCATAAAATCTGGTCTCACAAAACATGTAAGACCAAACGTGGTTAAGCATTCTTAAAGAACTTTTTCTTCTGTTTTTTTTTTCTTTTTTTAGATCTTAACATGATAGGATTCTCTCTCTCTCTTTCTCTCTCTCTATCTCTTTTTTACTGTTCATTTAGATCTCAAGATGATAAGTAAATTTCTACTCTCTCGCTCTCTCCTTCTCTCTCTCCGGAGCACTGTAATAGTTGGTTTTATGTGGAAATTTGGCTAGGCTATCATACCCAGCTTCCAATTAAACACTAATCTAAATGTTGCTGTGAAAGTATTCTGTAGTTGAGTAAGCATCTATAGTCAGATAACTTTAAATAAAGGAGATACCTTTGATAATGTGGGTAGGTGTCATCCAATCCATTGAAAAGCCTTAAGAATAAAATTGAGGTTTTCCCGAGGAAGAAAAGAAATGTTACCTTTGGACTATAACTTCGGCTTCTGCCAGAGAATTCTCAGCCTGCTGGCCTGCCCTACAGATTTCTGATTTGCCAGCCTCCACAATCAGTTAAGCTAACTCCTATAGTCTGTCTATCATCTATCTTTTACATATACATACATATGTACATGTATGTATACACACACACATTCAATTATCTTAAAAGTATACTATTCCTTAAAAGCCTTTTTCTATTTTGAAGACTCCTGAAATTTCTAAATATTATTGAACAACTCAAAGAGAATATTTATAAGCATGAATATGATATATATTCTACCAGAGAAGTAGAACATTCTATCTCCTGTTGTTCCACTTATCTGGTAGAACTCTGTTATGTGCACCCCAACACTACCAAACCCCAGTTCAACCATATGGACAGTATAATCTTTCTGGATGTTCTCTCAGCCTTTACACGTCTCGTGTTTTTGACTATTCTCTCCAGCATATAACCACTTAGGATAACTGGATACACCCATGGCAAACAGCAGCATCAGATATGCTTATTAATCTAGATTTTTACTTTCTTGTTATCTATGACTATCTATGACAAGGATCTTCCTTCTTTTTCCAGCAGTTTAGCCAAGTATTTTAAAATAATTTAAAAAAATATTTTGTCCAGATTATTTAGTCCAACACTGGAAGACTTTCTTTGGACATCTAGTCTTCCATGTATCCAGAAATAGAAGTCATATTCATTCTTATAGATATTCTTTCTGAGTATATCAATAATATTTAGAATATTCCAGGAGTCCTTAGGGTATAAAAAGACTTTAAAGAGTAGCATATTTTTGAGAGAATTGATTTCCAGATATTTTAATTCCATATATACTCCCTCTTACCACGTATATGCCCAAGAATGTGGTCTGATGGTTCTCCTTTCTTGCCTCTCATCATAACCAACCTTGTACTATTGTGCAAAAAGAGAGCACTTCACACCCATTCTGAGTCTTACTCATGCTTTGCTTTGTGATGCAAAAACCTTCTGGATGACAAAAGACAATTTAAGAATTAATAGCTACAGAAGAAGAATTCCATGAGAGGAAAACACATGGGAGCCACTGTGCAAAATGTGAAAGCAGCCAGTGCTGCTGTGGATCTCATGAAGACAGAGAGTAGACTGGTAGTTACCAGAGGTCAGAGAGAGTGGTGGGGAGAGGGAAATGAAGATAAGCCAATTAATAGGTACAAACACATATGGTTTGGTAGAAGAAATAAGATCTAGTGTTAGATCAGTAGGGTGACTACAGTTTCCAATGATCTATTGTATATTTCAAAATAACTAGAAGAGAATCATTCAAATGGTTCTAGCCTAAAGACAAATATTTAAGGTGATAGATATCCCAAGTACGCTGATTTTATCTTTACACATTAGAAGAATATATTAAATTATCCCATGTACCCTCAACTTATGTACATCTATTGTGTATAAGTTTACACACAAAAAATAAAGCAGCAGTGCCTTGTTTCATCTGGACGCAGACTCTTAACAATGCCTTCTCGAAGAGTTAGGATTCAACAGTGAGACTATTGTCACAGGAATATGTATTAATATTTTCATTTTCAAATCAAGGTAAGTCTTTTTATAACAAAGTACAGTCATGTGCACATAATGACATTTTGGTGTAAGATGAATGAACTGCATATACAACCGTGGTCCCCAAGATTATAGGGAGCATGCATAGAAGTCTGATATGTGGCACTAGGTTGGTATTGGCACTGCAGATCAAGTAGGGGAAATGACTGATAATCAGTAATGGTGCTGGGACATGGTTTTCCATATGAAAAATACATAAAAATATATATGCCGCCTAGTTTGTGTAAGTACACTCTGTCACCTTTGTACAATGATAAAATAACCTAACAATGCATTTCTCAGAACATAGCCCCATCATTAGACGATGTATGACTGCATAAGTTTGATTTGGCTCATTCGTTCAACAATAAGGACTACCTTTGTACCTCAAGATGGACAGGCAGACATCCTCCACAAACTGCGTGAGCTAACTATATAGCTTCAAGGTTATGATGAAAGATATACTTATGATGAAAGATATACTTCAAGGTCATGATGAAAGATATGAACTATACAATATGTCAGAAGTTATATCTTTTAAAATACATTTATAGTTAAATGAGAAGTTAAAAATGTGTGGAGATGAGATATATAACTTTAAAAAGTTATTTTAGGGCTTAAAAAAATTGGAAGATCATTAATTTATACCATTAGTTTCTCTAACATTTTTGTTGTTTTAAAATTGCTATTAGAATTACCATGTTAGTACTTTATCATTTTAGGAATAGATTTTAGAATTAATAGTTCAACCTATTTCACCTAGTTACAAACCGAAAAGAACAATCAAAGGTACTACCCAGATGCCAAATAAAGTGAAATTTTGATTGAAAATTAGTTTTGATTTTAATGCGCCCTTAATGATTAGTTTAACCTCATTTTAATGACATACACAATGTGCTTGTTTTAGCATTATATGTAGTAGTCAAAAACTGGGCCAGATATCAAAATAAATTGTGGCATATTTATACAACAGAATACCTCAATTAAAATGGATGAACTAATGCTACACACAATTTGTGGATTAACCTGATAAGTAATGTCAAGTAAAGAATCCACACATACAAGTGCGTACTGTATGAATCTGTTTATGTAAAGTTCAAAAACAGGCAAAACGAATCAAAGGTGATGAAACTCACAAAAATTGCTGTTTGAGAGGTAATGGCTGAGAAAGGGCAGGATTGAGGCTCTGAGGTGTTGCCGTTATTCTGCTTCTTCATTTGGCAGTGGTTACACAGGTGTTTACAACATAAATATCTATCAGGCTGTATACACCCTTTCCCACTTTTTGAAGGTATGGTATACTTCAGTAAAAGTTTACTAAAAAGTAAAAATAAAAAAGATGTTGCACCTATAGCAAAATAAAACCGTGGCAGGTATTTTGGTAAATATTCTATTTTTCTCATCTTCTACTGTTGCTGATGACGGGGACGGTATTCGGGTGAATGCTTTGTCGATTAGAATATCATTTTGCTTTAGCCTGTGCAGCCAATGCAGCTTCTTCACGCAACTTAGCCTTCTTTGCCAAGTTCAAACTTGCTAAGGATTCATGTCGTTCTACAGCCTGTGGGGGGGAAAATTATATATATATATATCACTATGACTCTGGAAAGTGGAAAAATTTGTATTTTAGACAGAAATATATGGGAGAGAACAGAATTAGAAGTTCTAACATACGTTCATAACGGGAAGAGAGAATAGACTGAATGGGAAAAGAGGCCATCTTTGAAGTTATGACAGCATAGACTTGTTCAGAAGTGAGGAAAGCTGTAAGTCCTCAAACTGGAGGATATACAAAGTCCTTAGTAAAATAAATAAAAATTTAACAGATATTGACAGATACCAAGTGTGCATCTCACACTTAATATAGCCAAAATAGAGAGCTGGCATATTTTGTGCCCCCTGCCTACCAGTCTTTCCCCAGCCATACACATCTCAATAAATGGCAGCAGCATCCACCTTCTTGCTCAAGTCAAAAAACCCAGGCCTTTGCGCTTCTTTATTCAATTTTTTATTTCTGATTCCACAATGAATTCACCACAAAGTTCTATCCTTTTTACTTCCCCAAATATACCTCAGCTTGCTAACCTCTTCTCCATCTGCCACAATTTCTTTAAGGTACGTGCATTGTAATTCAAAATGAAAAATGAATTGGGAGACAGGCAAGAGGGACAGTGGTGGGACTATTTAGAAGATACTGCAATGAACTAGGCGATAGATATATATTGGTATCTCAGGAGAGATACTGAGGAGTGCTCCAATTGGGGCTCTATTTTGAAAGTGGAGCCAATGGGGTTGCTGATATATGACGACTTATACATGAGCAGCTAGAAAGACAGAGTTGACATCAACTGAGAGAAGGAAGACAGTACAGAAAAGGGTGGCTCAGGGTTGTCTGAGGGAAGATCTAGAGTTCAACTCTTGACATGTTAAGTTTGAGACATCCATTAGACATCCAAAGGGAAATGTTAAGTAAGCAACTGACTATATGAGTTTGAAGTGCAGAAGGAAGACGTTAGTTGAGATATCAATTTGAGAGTCCTTGGAAAATAGAACGTATTTAAATCCAAAAGACTTGGTAAGATCCCCCAAGGGAGTGAGTGTAGATAGAGAACAGAAAGACTAAAGACTGATCCATGGGGGGATTCCACTGTTATGAGGTCCAGGAGAATAGGAGAAACCAGCAGAGTAAACTCGAAAGACGTGGCCAACAGAGAACCTACATGAGTGTGGTGCCAAGGAAATCAAGCAAAGAAAATATTTCATGGAAGATAAAAGATTTTTATTCCCAGTGCTTTCACTTTAGAGCTTCTGAGGATTTTTATGGAAGGACAATGGCTAGTTTTCATTCTCCAACAAAGGGTAAGTGAAAAATGTCACATTGGCCTATTCTAGTGTTTTTCATATATACATTTGTAGCCAATTATTCCCCTATGTGCCAAAAATATTCTTTTCTTGGTTGAAGAAGGGAGCGACTGGCCACTGTGTGCCAGAATTCCTGTAGAGGGGTGGCTTTGAGGTATAGGTAGACCAAATTGCTTTGTAACCCTGATATTCTCAACCTAGACGTATTTTTAGCAGTTCACTGGAACTGAACTGCTAAAATTCACTAGACTGAACTCAGATTGAGCAGAATTTGAGGAAGGGAAGATACTGATTGGCAGTAGAAAATATTTGCTAATCAAGAAGAATTGTCAACTGTCCCTCCAAAATGTAATGAGATTTATCTGCACCCAAGCATCCAAACAGTGTCAAACCAAGTCTAGATAAACAGTCTCCAAAGTAGGATAAGAACGACAATGCCCACTGTAAACACATTTCATATTTTTTAAATGAGAAAAACTAACATTTAATAGAAGAGTTGAGGAATAGTGAATCCCTGTCTCTGTCAGGCAGTGGAGGTATCCTGAAGAACCTCTGACAGTTCTAGAATACAGAAGAATATAAAGGCACATCTAACTTTATTGTGCTTCGCTGTATTATGCCTCTCTCTCTTTCTTCTTTTCTTTCAAATTGAAGGTTTGTGGCAACCCTGCATGGAATAAGCCTGTAGGCTCCATTTTGCCGACAGCTTGTGCTCACTTCGTGTCTCTGTCACATTTTGCTAATTTTTGCAATATTTCAAACTTTTTCATAACTTCTGTTATGGTGATCTGCAATCAGCGATTGCTGATGTTACTATTGTACTTGTTTTTGGGTGCTACAAGTTGTGCCCAGATAAGACAGCAAACTTAATTGGTAAACGTTGTACATATTATTCTCACTCCACACACTGGCCAGTCTCCCGTCTCTCTTCCTCTCCTTGGGCCTCCCTATTCCTTGAGATGCAACAATATTGAAATTAGGCCAATTATTAACCCTATAATGGCCTCTAAAATGTTCAAGTAAAAGGAAGGGTTGTGCATCTCTCTCTTTAAAAAAGTAGAAATGATTAAGCTTAGTGAAAAAGGCATGTTGAAAGCCAAGATAGGTTAAAAGCTAGGCCTCTTGTGCCAAACAGTTGACCATGCTGTGAATGCAAAGGAAAAGTTACTGAAGAAAATTAAAAGTGCTACTCCAGTGAACACACAAATAAAATGAAACAGCCTTATTACTGATATAAAAAACATTTTAGTGGTCTAGATACAAGATCAAACCAGCTACAACATTCCTTTAAGCCAGTGCCTAATATAGAGCAAGGCCCTAACTCTCTTCAGTTCTGAGAAAGCTGCAGAAGAAAAGTTGGAAGCTGGCAGAGGTTGGTTCATGAGGCTGAAGGAAAGAAGCTGTCTCCATAACATAAAAGTGCAAGGTGAAGCAGCAAGTGCTGATAGAGAAGCTACGGCAAGTCGTCTAGAAGATCTGTTATAGCTGACATCATTGATGAAGGCTATGCTAAAAAACAATTTTTCAATGAAGTCAGAATAGCCTCATATTGGAAGAAAATGGCATCTAGAACTTTCAGAGACAGAGGGAAGTCAATGCCTGGCTTTAAAGCTTCAAAGACAGGCTGACTCTTGTTAGGAGCTATTGCAGCTGAGGACTTTAAATGGAAGCTAATACTCACTATCATTCTGAAAATCCTAGGACTCTTAAGAATTATGGCAAATCTCTGTCTGTACTCCATGAATGGAACAATGAAGCCTGGATGACTCTGTATCTGCTTACATGGCTTTCTAATTATTTAAAACTCACTGTTGAGACTTACTTCTCAGGAAAAAAAAGATTCTTTTCAAAATATTACTTCTCAGTGACAATGCATCTGGTCACTCAAAAGCTCTGATGGATATTTACAAGGAGATTAATGTTTTCATGACTGCTAACACAACATCCATTCTTCAGCGCATGGAAAAAGGTGCATGATTTTAAATTTTATTCTTAAGTGCCTTATCTTTTGTGTTTGTTGCTATTTTAAGTAGAGTCTTTATTTCTGATCTCTCTTTTCACAGGAGAGTGAAAATTTTTAAATCTTGTCACTATCTTGCTTAAAACTATTCACTGGATCCCCAATGTGTTTTAAAAAATCTGAACTATTTGCAGTGACCCATAGGCCTGATACTATCTGGACTCTCCCTGTCTCATACAGTCTTCCCTTTGCTCATTATACTCCATCCACACTAGCTCCTTTTTGTTTATTAATACACCAGACCCTTTCTCATCTCTAAGCTTTACACATGCTGTTTTTTTCTTCCCTTGGTCCTCTCATTGCTAGCTTATTCTCATCCTCCTCCGAGAGGGCTTCCCTGACCGCTCCATCAAAAATGGCCTCTCTTAGGGTGTTACCACTTTATCATCCTGTTCCTTTCCTTCATTGCACTAAGAATTCCTCATATATTTTTAGTTTGTTTACTTGATCAGTCTCCATTTTCCCCACTACAAAATACCTGTCTTTTTTCTCCATGGTATTCTAATAACAAACATGCATAGTGCCTGACATGTCTCAGGTGCTCAAAAGTATTTAGTGTATTAATGATTGAAAATCAATGTCTGCTCTCACATTTTTGGAGAAGAGGAAATGGAGCAATAACTGGTGCTACACATAGAACTCGATTCTTAGTTGCCACTTTTTGTGTCAGATTCACACAGAAAAATCCTGGCTATAATGATTTATAATAGAATTATATTTGAAATATGGGATTTTCACAGGAAATGGAAAATCTTTCCTGCAATTCAAATTAAATGTATTGAAAATAAAATGATGACATCAGTAGATCTCTAATATGCCAACTTGCGGATAAAATATATATTAAGTATAATTTGTCTTAATGTCTCATTTGGAAACTTGTGATTCCTATTTAAAAATATTAAAGTGCCATTATAAATAAACTTAGAGGGTGATTCTAAGTAAACAAATTGTCTAATTAATGTTTATCTTTTTGATGTAGAATGAGGCAATACACAAATCATCAAAATATTTCCAGAAGCTAGAGAATCATCAATTTGGCAGCAGTCATTTATTTAAGGTTAAGTTAAAAACAAGATATTATCAAAGTTATTTATTTATATTTTTGAGTGTTCAGTCCAGTAAACATTTAAAAATTTCTCATGGTGAGAACAATTTCAAAGCATGCATTTTTTCCAAGCTAATAGGAATGAAAGGACATTTATATAGTCTCTGTGGGCTTATAGGTCCTAATCCCTGTGTGAAGTTAGTGGGCTGAGATACACTTGGGCACCCAGGGAGTAAAGGACAGAATCACAGAATTGGATGTATGGAGCCAAGCAAACTATTCTGAATGATATGGGTGCACTATTGAAACACAATATTCATAACCAAAAACGTTATAATCCAGCTCTAGTGGCTGCAGGTGCCATGATGAAGAGGGGCACTGTTAAACTGGAGTGTGTTGAGAGGACAGCTCCCAGGTAGAAGGAAGTTGTTACAGTGGTTAAAACTGAAGAAGCAAAAACTCATAGGGATGTGTTAGAAATGTCAAAATACTTGTGGGACGCTCTTTGTGGTAAAAAGTGACCAGTAGATGGAAGGATTTGGAGAGGCAGAAAACAAAATTAGAGGGTAGTCAGCTCTTAATTTCTCTCTAGAGATATTAAACAGAAACCATACATTGGGAATGTCAAGGAAAGGACTGACATACAGGATCCAGACAAACTAGATGACCTTGGCAATCACTTCCAGCCTTTGCACTTATAACTAGTTCATATTTCTATTCCTGATTTAATGAATGATCTAGTCTGGATAACTTTCAACAATAAAGTTCTCTGTCTTCTGCAGATTTTAACCAGGGTATAAATTGTCTTGTTTTTGTTTATGAGTTGAAACAAGCATTTGTCCCTCCTGGCCATATAGTGTTAATTTGTTGACTCAAATTTCCATAAACAAATTTATCTCCGGTATAATATATATTATAATATAACATACATTATATTATATATATATCTGACTTTAAGTCTCAAAGACAAAATTGTTCTTAGATTAAAAAACAGCAATAATCCCTGAATTGAGAACAGTGTCTATAACATTTCCTAAAATTCACCTTTTGGGCTAAGGAGATACTCACCCTTTTGGTGAGATACTCGATCTTTTAAGGAGGTACTTAAAAAGAAGTACTCACCCTTTTGCCTTTCTTGCCCTTTTAAGGAGATACTCACCCTTTTGGCTGACGCTATCACAGCAAAGCAGGCGATAATTGTGAGTCCAATCATTATGTAACAAACTTTCACTCGAGCTTTGTTTCTGGCAGTGTCTATCATTTCTGGCCTAAACGAAGATGTGCATTCTGTTAAATATGTAAAAATAATATGGTTTTCTGACAGGCTTGATACATAATTTGCTGTGTAAATATTCCAAAAAATTCCCTGACTGCAAACTACATTCGGTGACATTTTCATGTGCAAGACTTTGAAACGCTAGTCAGTTATTCTACCAATTTCAAATTAACAAGTATTTATTCATATCTTAAACTAATGTTAGCCATTATCAAACTGTTGTATAATATATTTAGTTTCTAATTCCTCAAAATATAACTACTAAAAATGCTAACTTGACTCTCCATTGTTTTTATTCACTAAATGGGGTAAAGGAGGAGTTAAAGCATACATACATCTGTGACCCACAATTATTTAGACTCTTTGTTAAGTAGGCTTTGTTTTCCTTTTGAACAGTTTCTTTTTTTTTTTTTTAACTCATTTTTATCACTTTGTTTTTTCACTGACCTCACAATCCCTTGTCCCTTCACATGCTGTCCCCAAGAGAGACTACTATCCAGTTTGTGAGAATGTCTGTTAGAAAAATGATGTTTCCTTCATGGCTTTTGCAAGAATTAAAAAAAGAAAAAAGAGATTAAAATCACAATAATTTGCCAAAGAAAAAGATAAAAGAGACCTTCATTTTCCTGTTATTATTATTCTGAAATGTGATCTACTTAAGTTCTAGATAGTCTTATTCATTCATCGTTTTATGCATGTTGTCCGAGATTTTAATAGTACTTCTTACAAAGTGGTGATACAAAAGGCATCATGCCTGTGGGGCTTTTACATTGAAATAAACTTTAACAATTTTCAATAATATGAAGTGGCAGTTTCTAAATATGCATATTTAAAGCATTTGATTTGTGAGAATATATTCATTGGCATTCTTTCTTCTCTTTGTGAAGTTTAAATAGAGTATAGTTACATTGAAAAAAAAATTCAGAAAGACAAAGTTGTAATTTCTCTTAAAAACAGAAAACTTTTTAACTTTTCCACTGGTTGACAGACCATAGAAAACAACTATCTTTCCCGTTTTCTTTAGATTTTAGGCAGAATGATGTAAGTTTTAAGATATGAGTTGCAAACAGGTTCAATTAGTGAGTATAGAGAAATTATTAGATTATATTTGCTGCTAACTTTTGTTCCAGATGGAACCTAGAAGCTGTGATCTTTTTTACCCAGCCAGTTGGCTTTAATCTATTACAACAAATTAGTTTAGCACCGAGAAAGACAAGACAAAGTACGCTTATTATTAAATGTAATTAGTGTATAATACAAAAATTATAGGTCACTTGTTCATTATATGTCCATTAAAAGGTAAAAGCTGTTTACATTTTAAGTGTAACACTTGGCTTAACAGGAATCTCTCTTAAATAGCAATGTTTAAAAAAAATTATAGAAAAATAATAAAAATGAAAAATACTCAAATACTTTAAAATTTCTGATCCAAAACTGCAATGCTTTTTATAGGCATCTTGTTCTTAGTGAAATGCTCCTGTTTATAATACTTTTTTAAACTGTGATCTTGGGGGAAATTCATTATTTCTGTAAAACGAGTCTCTTCACACATGCAGCTATGTTAAATGCAATACTGGGCATAGGTTTTCTTGACAAACAATGTAATGCTGCTTCTTTACACTCTTGATTACTCGTTTAGGCCACTGGAAATAAAAATTCAAACAAATTGAAGGTGGTGGCTTATTTATTTTTATTTTTTACTTATTTGTTTGGCGTTTAATGTATTAAATTTTCAGGCATCAATTAAAATTTGAATTTGATAACCAGAGCTTATGATGAGAAAGGCTTTTCTGAGTCTAATTTTTGCTTTCAGCTAAGTCTGTGGTTTGGAGTCTATAGATCTCAAGGAAAATTAATCTTAGAACGTATCTCTGTAGTTGACTAAATACTGAAAACAGATGCAAATGCCATGTTATTTCAAATTCCATGTCCATTCCTCATTAAGTGACTTGCTCCAATAAAGGAATGAAAATGCCTCAGAGTTCAGTATTGAGTGTACATTTTCCATCCATGTTGTCCCACCCCGCCCCTCCCCATCTATCTGAGATGCTTTGGTAACTGATAAACTGCAATTGTTTATAAACAATAACACTGCAGGCACCATGTGAAGAACAGGAATATAGGCCCAGTTTCCATTATCCATTCTAATATATCCATTTTAATAGGCATTCATTACATTGTAGAAATATCCTGTATCTCTAAAATCCTTCTTACACGTTATGGTTTTAGGCTATTTTTTTAAAGATAAACTTGATAAGCCGTACACTGATTTTATTCTTAGTTTCCATCCCTCTCTTTTTTACCCAATCCCTTGTAAAAATGCTGTGAAGGTTTTTAGGCTTGGCAGAAACAGAAACTTTGGAAAGACTTTTTTTACAGGTTACATTTACTTATTATTAGCATTTATTTTACAGGTTACATTACCCTGGGGGGGGGGTTACTAGCTTGAGTTTTATCAACTGTCTTGGTGGGTTTAGCATATTGAAGAGGACCACGGTGCTGACACTGTCGCGTGTCTCCCCCAGAGTAAACTGTAGCCTAGCGGGCTGCAGAACAGCGTCAGCCAGGCGTCTCCTGCCCCAGAGGAGGAGGCCGCATGGATGCAACTTTTTTCCAGAGACCCTCCAGTCGCCCCGCAAACCATGATCAGGGAACCCTTTCCTTGGGTGGAGTAGCGGAACGCCCCAGACCAAAGCCCATATTGCCGTCTGACGTCCCCGCAGCCATCCAGATGCTCACGAGGACCCTGCCCCGGTTGGCACAAGAGCCCCACTGCCTCCCCGCTCCAAGCTTGCTGCGGAAGGGGACAAGCGATCTGGGCGATGCTGGAAGTGTCCACCGAACCTCTCGCTTTTCGCCCACATTCTGAAATCTCCCTGTAAGCTTAGCGGACCTCTTGGCTACTGGCCGCACTGGAGGCGGGGTGTGTGTGTAGGTAAACTCCGTGTGTGGTGGGTGTTATTGCGAAGTGTTGGCACTGCGGCCGCCTTCGCTCCCAGGTGGCCGCGGTCGGTAGGTGGGTCACCCCGCACCCTCGCGGCCGGGCCCGACTCTCCTTCGCGCCGCGGTTGCCACACTTACGGGACCCGAGGCGGGATCTCCTCCATCGATTTGAAACGCCCCGTCCACACCAGGATTTTCTTGTCGAATTGCGAAGGCCTGTGCTTCGCAGGGACTCCGTGAACCTCCCCTGCAGCGAAAGCAACCCAGATGGAGGCGGGAACCGACAGACTCGCACAGAGGATCAGCGGGAGCTCAAGGCGACCCCCGGGCCAGCTCCTCGCCGCCCTCCCGCAACCTCCTCCCTCCCAGGACCACCTGGTCCGAGCCCTGGCTCACCGCGACCTTTGGGTGCAGAATTGCTGGGGGCCGCGCCGCTGGAGTACCAGGGGAGACCCCAGGGCGGAAGAACCGGTGCGGGTCGCCGCGTCGCCTCGACAGGCGCCCCGAGGGCGCAGCGGACGGTTACACCGCGGCCAAGGCGCAGGAGGCTCCCGACCGCCGAGAACATGCTGCCTGCTAGTCCCGCGCCGGACCCGCACTTCCCGGCCCAGCCACGGGCGTTCTCCCCGCAGCTGTCCCCGCCCAGGGCCGGCCCGGCCCGCCGCGCCCTGGAGAGCCTGGGACGCGCAGCTGGAACCCCCGGCGCTCGCACACTCAGCTCCCTGTCCCCGCCTCCGCCCCCGTCCGGCGACCCCGGATCTGGGCGTCAAGGCCCTAGGGGCTGGTTCCCCAGGGAGCAGCCTGCCTCTGCTCACCACCGCCTGAGACAGTATGTGCCGTTCCTTTTAAATTCTCTGTATTGAGTAGAAATGTGTTTCCGCCAGGCTTTTAGCCTTTGATTCCATCGTTTGTTCCCCAGGAGAGTAAATCCAAATCCTCTCCTACAGGAAGAGACAACAATCATTCAAGTGCAGGAAACTTCAGACATTTATCAGTTAAGTGTAAGGCACTCTACGAACTTCTGGATGAGAGTTTTTGAAGTTAGCTCCTCACTTCTTCCTCCCACCCCAGTATTTTTTCTCTTTCCTACGGAAAACAACCTCAGTTCCGGCATCTGTCTTTCTCTATCTTTTCTTCTCCTTTTCAGAGACAGCCTCTGGCTCTGTCACTCAGGCTGGAGTGCAGTGGCATGCTGATAACTCATTGTAACCTCGAACTCCTGGACTCAAGTAATCCTCCCGCCTTAGCCTCCGGAGTAGTTAGGGCTTTGGTTGTGCGCTCTGCTATTTTTATTTTATTTTTTTAAGAGATGGGATCTCATTATGTTGCCCAGACTGGTCTCCAACTCCTGGCCTCCAACTCCTGGCCTCCAGCTATCCCCTGGGCTCTGCCTCCCAAAGCACTGGGATTACAGGCAGAAGCCGACATGCCAGCCCCCCACCTCTTCATATCTTTGCCCACAAACTCTCCACACTCCCTTCAAAATGTGCCTTTCTTCTGTCACCTTCCACCGTCTCCTCTCTGCTAAAAGGTAAAAGAATCTACTATTTTCAGGCATTAAATGGTAACAGGGATTCAGAATCAGTGATTGGAGAGAAGGGTTGTACAAGGAAATGACTTATCTTGTTCCAGAGACAACAGATCTCCTGCCAAGTCAAAGTTCTCATCAGCCCAGCACCAGCCCCACCTCACCCTCCTCTCCTATTACTGCCTGTGAGATTCCCTCCTTATCTAGACACTGCTTTTCACTTGTTGGATTTCTAGATATTTTTCTTTCTAACTAGCTCTCAGGGTCTTGAAGGCAATAACTTTTCTGTAACTGCCAGCCCAGGTTTTGTTTTTTTGTTTTATATAACAGCGTTAAACAAAAAAGGAGGGTTTAATAACTCTGTGAAGACATGCATTTAGAGGAGTGCTCGTAGAAGGAACACGGGCTTTGCCTTCACACCTAGGTTTAAATCCCAGATTTGTGACCTAAAAGTTGCACGACATCATGAGCAGTAAATCAGTTAAGTTATAAGTCTTGGTTTCATTTGTAAAACCAGAATTCCTGTCTTGTAGGTTTATTCCTGCAGTGACTACCAGTAATCAACTATGTGCCAGCTACCTCCCAGAGCTGGGGATAGAGCAGTGATGCCATCAGGTGAGGATGAAGAAAAATAAAACAGGGTGGAAAAAAAAAAAGCAGGAGTAGAGTGAGAAGCTATTTAGAAAGCCTGGTTAGGAATGTCCCTCTAAATGTGCCTGGCGTGTAGTAATACTTCTGAAGATACGATTTCTTTCCTTTCACATTCTTTAGTCCCAAAGCACAAGGGCATTTTAATATATGTAATCTCCCATGGGGAATTAGGAGCTCCCTACCCTTCAGGATTTTTAATTATATTCCAAACATTTAGCTGAAAAATTGGCACTTACTAGATATTTAATAAGTATTGTTAAATAAGTGAATAGATCAATACAGGTCTTCAAAAACAGAGTAGTCTATACCTAGGCTAGTTTTAGAAAAGACTGAGCTGCTTGAGGAGAATATATGTCCTTCTAAACTTCATACATCCAGTGTCTGTCATGTTGCTTACCACATAGCAGTCTCCAAATAAATATTTATAAAACTCAACTTAATGAATTCCTGCTTCAGAAAGTATGTTGCCGTAGCTAGTACTGCTCCAGCATTATGCTACTTGAAGATTCTTCCATTATTTAAATGTGTTTTGTTTTTTCTTTTAGTATTTTATTTGTTTTCATATCACTGAGAAGGAATATCCATGCAGATAGAGGAAGTCACCTCTGAGAAACAACCTATCATTAATAATTCACCAAGAAATATTAAACAAGGGAAATAAGTTTATTTCCCTGGAGAGAATCAAATGTCATACATACGCTCAGGATTTTCTATTTCGAGCTTCTCCAGTATTGCAGAACTACAAGGCAAGAGAGTAAGCTCAAGTCATGAGAGAAAGAACAATTTGTATTCTGTTCTCTATCCTTGATGGGATTAAAATATCACTGTTTGTCAGTGGTCTACATAAAATAAATTACTTACAGCTGCATTAGATATTTTTTTCAGTTCTATAATTAGAACAAGTTAAAACATTTGAAACAACTTTTAATAGAAGAATACACTAATTATATGCCTTTATTTCTTTTTCTAATGAGGACAGCACTTTTTTTTTTTTTTTTTTTTTTTGATGTCGTTTTTCCCTGTTGCCCAGACTGGAGTGCATTGGCATGATCTCAGCTCCTGCAACCTCCATCTCCCAGGTTCAAGTGATTCTCCTGCCTCAGCCTCCCAAGTAGCTGGGATTACAGGTGCCCATCACCACATCTGGCTAATTTTTGTAGTTTTTAGTAGAGACAAGGTTTTACCATGTTGGCCAGGCTGGCCTCAAACTCCTGACCTCAGGAGATCCACCTGCCTCAGCCTCCGAAAGTGCTGGGGTTACAGGCATGAGCCACCATGCTGAGCCAGCACATTTATTCACTTAACAAACATTGACTGAGTACTTCCTATGTGCTGGATACTCTTCTAGTTTCTGAGGTTATAGCAGGTAACCAAACAAAAATCTCTGTCCATTACAGGGCTTATTAATCCATGTGGTTTTAGTTTACTCACTCTATTCTGTTATCTTTCTTTCCCTTTCTTTCTTCCTTCCTTCCTTCCTTCCTTCCTTCCTTCCTTCCTTCCTTCCTTCTTTCCTTCCTTTCTCTTTCTTTCTCTTTCTCTCTTTCTTTCTTTCTTTCCTTCTCGCTCCCTCTCTCTCTCTTTCTTTTTCTTTCTTTCTTTCCCTTTCTTCCTTCCTTCCTTTCTTTCTCTTTCTTTCTTTCTTTCTTTCTTTCTTTCTTTCTTTCTTTCTTTCTTTCTTTCTTTCTTTCTTTCTTTCTTTCTTTCTTTCTTATGAGACAGAATCTTGTTCTGTCACCAGGCACCACTGGAGTGCAGTGGCACGATCTCGGCTCACTGCAACCTCTACCTCCTGGGTTCAAGCAATTCTGCCTCAGCCTCTCGAGTAGCTGGGACTGCAGGTGCGCGCCACCACGCCCAGCTAATTTTTGTATTTTTAGTAGAGATGGGGTTTCACCACGTTGGCCAGGATGGTCTCAATCTCTTGACCTCGTGATCTGCCCACCTTGGCCTCCCAACGTTCTGGGATTACGGGCGTGAGCCACCGCTGGCCAGTTCTGTTATTTTTCAATTCAAAGGTTCATGTAATTTGCAGTTTGTTTGAACATATGATTATCAGTATTGTTCCTTCAAGCCTTGCTTTTGATGAGAATGGCTCATATTTCCATTTCCTATATCTAATTTAGTTAATTAAGGTACACTGTTATACCTAGGACTAGATTTTAAATAAAGTAATTCCATAAACACTGGAAAGTATGGGTAGTTGTGTGTGTGTGTGTGTGTGTGTGTGTGTGTGTGTGTGTGTGTGTTTCCCTCAGTTGGAAGCGTTGTGCTTCTTGCTAGGCTAAGGCAGAGGTTACAAAGACAGAGCTGCAGAGCTGCCCCCCAGGAGCTCTCAATCTGGCTGGGATGAGGTGCCCTCATCAGAAAATGACCTGCTCCCAAAGGAAGGCCTTAGAGGGACCTTAACTAACCTGTTTTTCAACTCCCTGCTAGTATCTCTGTAGGAAAAGTTCTAAAGTGACAGTCTATCTCTAGGATCTGCTCATAGGGGTCCCTAGTGCTTGGGGTAACCTTATTAAGTGGGTGGTCCAGATGAGGACTAAGCATACACTTAAGACACCAACCACAGAAAGGGCACTGAAAACATGAAGGAGTGTTTTGAAATTATTTTGAAATTTAGAATTAAGAATAAAAACTCATGAGAGCACCAGCATGTGTAAAACGTCCTCACATTTGTGTTCTAAATATATATTTACATATGGGCTGATGAAGGCCATAGCATTTGCAGCAGTGAGGATGCCAAAGGTCTTAATTTGGCCTGGGTTCTTAGGGTCAGAGCTGATGATAACATCAAAACTTGGTCTGGTTGTGATATACAACCAGATATGATTGAAAGAAACCATAAATCAGATCATCTGTTTATTCTGGCAAAACATTCCAGTGGTTCCAAGCACGCTGTGCTTAGAATAAAACGGAAACTCTTTACTGGGGTCTACAGGGCCCTGTATGACCTAGACCTGCATACCTCTCCAAGCTCAATTCCAGCCACTCTTTCTTTTCTGTATAGTCCAGTCATACTGGTCTCCTCTGACTTTCTCAAGCAGGGAAAGCTTGCTCTCATTTCAGGTCTTTGCATTTCCTTTTTCCTCACATGCTCACCTGTTTCTCATTTTTAAGGTCTCAGTATAGCTGTCACTGCCTCCTAAAGGCCTTTCCTGTCCATCCTAGCAAAAGTTGCCCTACCCCTCCTCCCACCCTCAATTTTGTTACCTTGTTTTCTCCTTAACAGTTACCATTCTCTGTGGGTTTGCATATGTGCTTTGTCTTGGAACGCAATCTCCATGACCAGGGAAATGATGGTCTTGGGGCATCACTATATGATGGTCAGGATATAGCACAGTATCCAGCACATTTGCAGATTTTCAAATGTGTATTGGATAAAGGAATGAATGGATGACAGATATTGCCTTATCTCATTCCAACAAAGCTCTCAAAGAAGAAGCATATGTCCATTTTTGTCTTTTCCTGTTCATACCTCAGGTCTTGGTGATCTGGCTCTTTACCCTATAGTTCTGCTCAAAATAAGAT